TTTTTTTTTTTTTGCTTATTTATGATTTGAAAAGATGTCAAAGAAAGATTAAAAAACAGTCATTATTGGCATCATTTTAAGTCCTGATATTTTTATGAAGCAAGGAACCTAGTGGATAGACAGATAGAATAAGACTTCTCTGACTATGTCTTATTAGTGTTTTATTTTATTTAAATAACCAGTGGAGCAAAAAGCTAAATTATAAAGCATTTGAAAAATACACTTTCTTCCCTCTGGCTGGCTGTCTCCACGTGTCTCTCCTGAGGATATCAGTCTTATTGAATTAAGGGTCCATCCTGCCCTGTGTGAGCTCATCCCAACTAGTCATATCTGCACTGAGGGACCCATTGTAAGATCACACTCATGGCTGTAGCTAGAGTTTTCCTGGTCCTACCTGGCCCACGGTCAGGACAAATCACTCTCACCTGCCTGTCCTGCAGCCACTCAGACCCAACCAAGTAAACACACCGAGACTTATATTGATTATAAACTGTATGGCCATGGCAGGTTTCTTGTTATCTAGTTCTTCTATCTTAAATTAACCCATTTTTATTAGTCTATTTTTTTTAAGATTTATTTATTTATTATGTATACAGTGTTCTGTCTACACACACCCCTGCAGGCCAGAAGAGGGCACCAGATCTCACTACAGATGGTTGTGAGCCACCATGTGGTTGCTGGGAATTGAACTCAGAACCTTCGGAAGAACAAGCAGTGCTCTTAACCTCTGAGCCTTGCCACATGGCTCGTGGCTTACCAGTACCTTACATCTCGCTTGTCATGGCAGCGGCTGGCAGCGGCTCTCTGCCTCAACCTTCTACTTCCCAGAATTCTCCTCTCTCCTTGTCCCACCTATACTTCCTGCCTGGCTACTGGCCAATCAGCATGTTATTTATACAGAGCAATATCCACAACACATGACCTCTAGTTAGTATGACTTTATCATGTCATTTGGGGGATGAAGTTCAACCCACTACATAGTATATTTATAATGGTTAATTTTATTTATCAGTGGACTGGGCCATGGTGACTAGAGGTTTGTCAACATTATTCTGGGTGCTTCTGTGAAAGTGTTCACTTTTAATAAACTAAGCATTTAAATTGGTAGGTTTTTGGATAAAGTTGCACTGCATAAAGTACTAGGCCTTGCCTAGACGTTTGGAGGTCTTAACAGAATAAAGACGACTTCCCCAAACATGTAGAAACTCCAGCTGCAGCTTTGGCTCTTCCCTGGATCTTCCTCTTGTAAGCCTTCACTAGCTTCCTATCGAGTCGGGACTCGCTGGCTTCTCTGAGCTAAGTGATGTATGTATAAGCTAGCTTCTGCTTAGTTACAAACAAGCCCAAAATGCCCTGGCAGGCAGCAACAGCTTCACCTCTCAATCCTGGCAGGTTTTTTTTCTAGTTTGCACCTGACTGGCTGATGTCTGTGGTCCCCTGGCAACTTAGTCTAGGTAACAAAGATTTGCTGGACCTAGGTGACCTCAGCTGGGATAATTCTCAGCCCCAGGAAGTTCCTATAGTGGTCTACCCTGAGCCTCTTCAGTGATTCTAAAAAGTAGCGAGAGAGGGAGAGAAAAAGCCCAAGTGCAAGCTTGTTTACAGTCTGCCCTGATTTCCAGATCATGTCACAGTGTGACAATAAACATGTCTACCCAAGGGCATGCCACTACGAGGTGGGGGCTGTTGATGCTACAATCCGTTATACTGAGTTTCTCCTGGTGTGATACAGTGTGAAGCACCTAGCAGCCTATGAGATATTCTGGCCAAAATGACTGAGCTTGAATCTAATCGAGCTCTAAATTAACTTCTATTTTCAGGAAATTCACAGGGTAGTTGAAGAAAGGTAAATAGACAAGTTGCCATTAATGCAGCAAACTGAAATGTCCCTGTGACTTCCTGGCCTTCTTTGGGTAGTGCCATGTGGTCAGTTCTGGCCCGTGAGATGAAGAGTAAAATACTTAAGGCTAAGCACTGAATTGCCTTGGTGAGACCCTTCAGGGCTCTTCTCTGTTGCTCCTATGGCCAGCAGTGGTTTGTAGCAAATCCAGTCTGGGTCTGGGAGTGAGGCCAATAGCTTACAGATAGCAGGCTTAACCTGAGTTGGCTGTGTAGGAAGGGGTGCCGTGTCTTTCTGTATGTCTTTCTGTATGCTGTGACTATGTGTTGCTCTCATAGGTTGATAAATAAAGCTGATTCGGCCTATAGCAAGGCAGAATATAGCTAGGCGGGAAAGCCTCACAGAATACAGGAAGAAAGACGGGCAGAGTTGAGGCAGAAGCCATTCAGCCACCTAGGGAGCAAGATGCCGGCAGACCGGTAATGCCACAGTCACATGACAAAATACAGATTAATAGAAATGGGTTAATTTAAGTTTTAAGAGCTAGTAATAAGCCTGAGCCATCTGCCAAACATTTATAATTAATGTAAGCCTCTGAGTGATTATTTTATAAACGGCTGTGGGACCTGGCAGGACGCAGAAAAGCCTCTGGCTACAAATTGGAAGGCGTCACTGTTCTATGCTTGGGAGCTTCTGGAGCTGCCTGTCTACAGTGGGTAGCTGTTGGAGCCATGGCCTCAAGCACCGCCCCTAAAGGCAGCTGTGGCTATTACACCTGCCTGTGACCTTGAGGTACCTGCCCCTGGGATGCACGAATAGTGCTCTCTCTTGGCTGCCCCATGGTTTGGATACTGAGATCTTAGACCAAGTCATTCAGCATGGGACATAGCTCAGTTTTCCTGGACCCTACAATAAATCTCCCGTGGTTGTGAGTTTACCCCCAAATACATTCCTTTGCTCATTAAGCTGATTCCATGGATTGCTAGCAATTTAATCACATTACCTGTCCTTACAGTCCGACCTTGCCAATCCCAAACCGAACACAAGTGACCTGGGTTTGTCAGTGTCATGGAAAATGTTAAGGGTCTTCCCTCTAGGTTCCGAGATGTAAGAGCTCCTACAATTGCATGTCATGTGTGGATCTTGTCTGAGGGGGGCTTGAACAAAACAACTGAGAATATACAATTTAGAAATAAATGGGGACATTTGCTTGTGGAATGGGTATTTTTCTTTCCAGATATCCTGGATGTAGCTTGTGTTTAAAAAACCTGTTGATGCATAGTGGTGCTCGCCTTTAATCCCAGCACTCTGAAGGCAATGGATACTTATGAAGGCAATGAAGTAAATGGATACTTACTATTTTGTGGCTTGAGCATGCCAGGCAAGTACTTTACTACTGAACTACACCCCAGCCCAATTAGAGATTTTTTAATAATGTTTTTTTTTAAGTAAATTGAAGCAAATGTGTCCAAGAATTATTGAATGTGGGTGGTAGATATATGGGGGTTCAGTATGCTAGCCTACTTTTATGCATTCTTAAGATTGTTTAGGATGGAAGTAAAAATAATGCCCCATAAAATTTTGATTATTTTTAGCAGATTGAATATATATATACACACACATACATACATACACACACACACATACACATAGGTTTTTCAAGACCGGGTTCTCTGTGTAGCTTTGCACCTTTCCTGGATCTCACTCTGTAGACCAGGCTGGCCTCGCACTCACAAAGATCCGCCTGCCTCTGCCTTCCCAGTGCTGGGATTAAAGGCATGCACCACCACCACCCGGCTCAATTGAACATGTTTATTGAAAGAAAGTGGTGAAAATCCATGAGAGTAGGGTTCCAAGGGAAGAATAGCTCAGAAGACATTGTGTGCTTGTTTTATGTGCCGTTCAGATAGCTTCCTGAGATGAGATTCCTAGAACGCATCAAAGCTAGGTGCACTGGTTGTTTTATTTGCAGGGTAGAATCACGGCCAGGGCCTCACTGTCAGGCAAGTGTTCTTTCACAGAGCTACATCCTCAGCCTAGGGTTTTAAGGCTCTTAGGATTTCTGATAAATTGCTTACAACAATCTGTGACACTGATTTACTCCTGAAAAGTAAGGTTTGAGAACAAAGAAAGTCCGGAAGGACTGTGAGCAGCAATGTTGTTATCAAAGACGGGAAGGTGAAAGCCCATAAGTCACACCTGGGGCGGATGAATAGGAAAGTCCGATGGAGCAAAGAACCAGCTCATCAGAGCACCAGGGCAGCTGTCAAGGCTTTTCCTGTAACACGGATCCGTTAAGGTTTTTGAGAATGTGACCTAGAGCAATTGCTTTCATGTTCAATAGCAGAAGTGCTGGGGATTTTCTTTTTGCCAAGTTCCTAAACTGAAATGTCAATAGTTCTTTGCCCAAGAACTCTGTGTTAAGGCTTACAAATTGCTGGAAGGGGTCTCCAGGGTTTATCTGGCCCATCTCGGGCCCATGCCTAATGAATTCTCTTTAAGCAGCTTCTGTGGATTCAGTGAACAAGTGGTCAGTCCTGT